GATTACATATTCTGAGAGCGTTCAGAGTTTTCTATTCTGTAGATTTATGTTTTAGTTTACACTTATGCGCTATCAAAGTAAATCGAGTGCAATGAAGGCACCCTTATTATCACATTGCCACTGTCATCAAAACTAGTTTTTTAAATATTTTTATTACTATAGAATAACCTTTTTAAAACAGTTATTATATATTCTGATAGAGCTTGAAATTCTCTATCATTCTATATAATCACCTATTCGAATGCATTACAAAAGAAATTATACATTCAAATAGCGCGGTTCACCAGCAATTTGGTTGGAAGACATACAACGACAACAAAACAACAATGAACAAAATCCTAGAAAACTTTATCCTTACAGAAATAATAATTTGAACTGAAATTATTTTTCAATAGATAAATGCAATAGAATAGATGATTATATAGAATGATAGAGAATTTCAAGCTCTATCAGAATATATAATAACTGTTTTAAAAAGGTAATTCTATAGTAATAAAAATATTTAAAAAACTAGTTTTGATGACAGTGGCAATGTGATAATAAGGGTGCCTTCATTGCACTCGATCTATTTTGATAGTGCATAAGTGTAAACTAAAACATAAATCTACAGAATAGAAAACTCTGAACGCTCTCAGAATATGTAATCATTTTTTGGAAATTATGTTGTTATTATGATGATATATTTGAAATACAAACTAGAACTATCTTATCCAGGCGTATGCATTTGCTTTGCTAAAAGGATCGAAAAAGTGGACATCAAGAACAGAGCTGCGAAAAATAGCGATTGTCTTTTCTTTTATCTTTTGTATTTTCTTGTTCACGTTAGATATAGTGTGTGCTCACGTTGCAATGTACAGTACATATATTTAACGTATATTGAGACTATTGTCGGATAACGTTCATGCATACTGAGGAAAAGAAGGAAACGTGGTATCAGTCTACACAGACAATAGTCTTAATGTATGTTATATATATGTACCGTACATTGCAACGTGAGCACACACTATATATAACGTGAACAAGAAAATAGAAAAGAAAAAAAAAAGAAAAGACAATAGCTATTTTTCGCAGCTCTAATGTGATTCATTCTTTTCAGAACGAAAAAATTCGCAAAAGAATCAAGTATTGCCCCATTTCAATAAAGAAATATTTTTAAAATGATGTGTATCAAAAAGAGTCGTGTTTTTGCAGATGTTGCACGATTTTTGATCCGCATGCCAAGGCAACAATGTTGTCAAAACTGAGATAGGGAGTGGTGGAAATACTTTTGCTATTTTTCACTATAAGTTTCTGTACAAATACAGATGATGAAATATGAATAAAGCTTTTGCTGACGAAGAAGAGATCAAATAAAAGTAAGTCGTGTTTCAATACCATGTTCTTTTTAATTGTACAACCATTTGAGCCTTTAAAATAAATATATTACGAACTTGCTTTGTAAGTTCTCAATCGAATGTTATATCCATCTTACAGTAGTTCTCTTCGTCTTTCTTCGTAACGGTTATGACACAGTTGAAATAAAGCAAGACAAAATATATAAGGTTATTGATTACTCATCTAGCAACTACCCTACTGCACATTAATCAGTTACAGTCGCTGCTCATTCCATAGGCTTTTCCCAACTGTTTCAGTCTGTTCCATGTCGTGTGATAGTAAAGGATGACCCAGAAACGATTAGCCTTTCGGTATTTTAACTACAAGTATTTTACTTTTCATCAGTCAGCGAATATTTTGTTCTCAAGGATGCTCCGTCAAGCTCGAGAAATTTCAAACAAACAACTTTCTAACTGCTACGCCAAATCGGTGATTTCTGGCAAAACGAGTAAAAGTATAAGAATTCTACTGTACCCGGTTATAAAAGCAACGGTATTGCAACCATAAATATTTTTAAAATTATTTGTATCAAAACCAGTCGTGTTTCTCCAGATGTTGCACGGTTTTTGCTCCGCATACCAAATGCTACGATATTTTCGAAACGGAGAAAACAGTAACCCTACTAAATAGGATTGAAAATACGTGATAAAATTCTAGCTTTGGAGGAGGTAAAATGAGATAGGGAGTGGTGGGAATACTTTTTGCGATTTTTCACTATTGTGATATCTATAACTTGGAAACTCTGAGCTAACTTTGGCTCTAGGAAATATTTTCTTATCTAACTGAGCTCAAACATCGCTAATACTTTCATTCCTTTCTAAGAGCCGTCTTGAGAAATCCGGCAAACTTAAGTAACACCCTTAATTTTAAGCATGATTCTAAGCGAAATGCTACATAGAAATCTGAAAACACACGAGAAAGAAAAAATCAACACTTTTCGTCTTATATATGGTCCATATACAAATTTCTTTACCAGACACGTTGAACATATTTACTATGCAATCTTGGGCGAACAAGTTCTTTTATTCCAACTAAAAAAGGTTTCTTGACCACCAATACAGGCTCAACATCTTCCACTTGTTCTTCAGCTTCTCCTGCATCCATCACCGCTGTATTACAGCAGCTGCACATAGTAAAACAAGAACTATCGTCATATGAGGTAATTATAAAGCAATGCGACTTACCAACAAGAATGACAACAACACAAAGCACATGCTACTAATGCAAACAATAAAAATCCCAGACCTAAACCTAAACCTAAGCCAAGTTTTAACGAAAAATCATCTGAATTTCGCTGATTGGTCTCCGCTGCTGATGATACTAAAGAAAAACAAAATAAGTCATTCTTCTAAGATTTCTCGCATTAATGATCAATTTACTGGCTATCAACGGCGTAGATGTGGTTGCATTAGTATTGCATACTAATACACAAGACGCACTTGCAGGTGTAGTCGTTGATGTGAATGATATCAAAGAACTTGTGTTGCTAGTTGATGAGCTCATACTACCAGTCATTGATGTGGATGACGTCGAAGTATTTGTACTGCTCGGTGATGAGCTCGTACTGCTCGTACTACCATTCATTGATGTAGATGAGATGGATGACGTCGAAGTACTTGTACTGCTGGTTGTACTATCAGTCGTTGATGTAGAGGATGTGGATGACGTCGAAGTACTTGTACTGCTGGTAGTACTATCAGTCGTTGATGTAGAGGATGTGGATGACGTCGAAGTACTTGTACTGCTGGTAGTACTATCAGTCATTGATGTAGACGATGTGGATGACGTCGAAGTACTTGTACTGCTGGTAGTACTATCAGTCGTTGATGTAGAGGATGTCGAACTAGACGTTGTCGACGTACTTGTGTCGCTCGCTGATGAACCTGTACTAGCTGTGCTAGTAGCTATTGTACTTGTATCAGGTGTGCTAATACTTCTATCTGGTGTGGTAGTAGTGTCAGACGTGCTAGTAGCTGTTGAACTTGCATCAGGTGTGCTAGTGCTTCTATCTGGTGTGG